CGGTCAGCGATACGACAGCCGCCGAGCTTGCAGCAGTGGGTGGACAGTCGCGCGTGTTGCCTATGAAAGCGGTGTGGACTCGCAAGAGAGGAGGAGTACACAAGTGCCGTGGATGTGTTTGTGGCAACTTCGCGACCAAAGATCCCACCGAGCAAGTGTGGACGGCGCAGGCGGAAACCAGCTCTGTTATGGCGGGCGTGAGGCTCACTCAGATCCGTCGTTGGTCCATTGGCAAGTTGGACATCAAGGGTGCATTTATGTATGCTCCTTTGCCGGATGACCTCCTGGTGGTGGTCCGGCCGCCCAAGATCTGGGTTACGCTTGGCTTGGTACCTCCAGACACCTTGTGGACTCTCAGGAAGGCGGTATACGGTCTTCGATGCTCTCCAAGAGCGTGGGGGCTCGAGCGAGACGCCCGGCTCCGAGAGGCTGCTTTCAGCAATCAGGGCCGTAACTATCGCTTGAAACAGTGTGATGCCGATTCCCAGGTGTGGCGAATAGTTGAAGATGGGAATACCACGACATTGGGACTCTTGGTGTGTTACGTAGATGACATGCTACTGCTCATGCCATCTGGTGATATTCGAGACACGTTAACAGCGCAACTTCGGAGTCTTTGGAAAATGTCGACAGAAGTGTATTTAACATCTTCTACACCACTCATGTTTCTTGGACTGGAGCTAGAGATCGACGCCGGGAGCGGTGATCTACTGATACATCAGCAGACGTTCATCAGACAGTTGCTCACCAAACACGGCCTGGACAAACTCAGCAAGCCCATTGCCGCAATACAAATGGCAGTGCCAGATGCGGCAGACGGCCCCCCGACTTGCCGGGGAGCTGAAGGTCCTACAGGGCTTCGCGGGCGAATTCAATTGGCTTTCCACCCGTACGCGTGCTGATCTGGCATACTACACTAGTATCATATCATCTACTGCAACCAAACACGGAGCTTGGACCCTGCAGTTATGTAAAAAAATACTTCGTTACCTATGTGGGACAGTCAAACACGGACTACGACTTCCTGCTGGAGGGGACGAGGGAGCATTAGTGGGATGGTCAGACGCAGGATATGGGGGACTGGGGACCAAAAGCCAGACCGGAGTTCTCGTATCATGGGCAGGGGGAGTCGTTCTATGGAGATCGTCTCGTCAACCTACTGCTGCGCTCTCAACGTGCGAGGCAGAGGTCGCCGCCGCAGCCATCACCTTTCAAATCATCGAGGGGCTCAAGGGGCTCTTGGTGGAGTGGGGTGTGCAGCTGCGCCCTGCCATATTGTTGATAGACAACAAATCAGCCCTGAGCGTCGCCGAGTTCGGGGGTTCCTGGAGAACCCGGTATTTCGCCGTTCGTGCAGGGAGGCTGGCAGACGAGAAACTCTTGGGCAACATCGAGCTCAGGTATTGCCCGACGAGCGACATGGCAGCCGACAGCCTCACGAAAATGAGCACGTCCACCATGTTAGAGAACACGAGGAACGCGATGAATGCCGATCTGCCGCCGATTCCGGGGGAGCACAACACCGTCCGGGAGTCTGATTCGACGTGGTGGGCGGCGATGGTTCGTCGACGCCGGTTGTTGCGCAGTGCTGCGGTCCACCACCGCACCAGAGTGACACCCGGGCCACAGCAGAGTGGGGACGAAACCGGCGACGGCCCTAAGCTCGAGGATGCGTACTGGCAGCGGATTGCACAGATCTGGTCTCTGAAGGACGATTCCAGATTGCTTTCGCTGAAGGAGACGAAGAAGACGTACCAGGGCGACCTCTACGAGTTCTATCTGTCCGTGTGCAAGGAGCACGGCCAGAAACCGTTGCCGCCAATTTCTTCATGTTCATCGTCGTCTGCGGCGCCGGAGGCCTCCGGGAAGGTCCACGACGGTGCGGCTGCGGGCTCGGGCGCGAAGTCCATGGCGACGCCGGCGCATCAGGTCGACCTAGAGAACACGGACGAGGAAGAGGAGCAGGTTGAGCCGTCGGGTAGCGGCCCCTCCGCCCACGGGTGTCAGGGGGCTGCTGGCCAAGGCTCGACGCAGACGGTTGGAGCAGCTCCGGGTTCCGAACCTGAAGAGAAGCAGGTGCTAGCCAGAGAGGCTCTTATGCTGATCCTTGCCGGCGTCGCCCGGCTGGGAGAGCGAGCTTCGCACACCCTTTTCGTCCTTCCGGAGTGGAATCAGAAGTACCGGAAGACGCTGGGGCCGTACAGACGGTTCTGTGAGCGCCAACGCGCGATCTTGCACATTACGGAGTGGGGCCGCGGCTGTTGGGCTATCCAGCAGAAGACCGAGATCGACACGACCACGGCTGAGGTCACGAAGCGGGCCAAGAAGAAGAGGAAGCTCACTGGAGACCAACGAGATGCCCGAGCGGTCCTGAAAGCCGTGGCTCGAGTTCGCCGTGACCACCCGCAAGAGGACGATGGCCAGCCTGGTCACACGGACTGACAGGGCACTGAGAGCAGGCCCAGTCAGGGGGGAGTGCGTGACAGGCAGTATGGATACAGTTCTCTGCAATTCGTATCTTGAGAGTGTGTTGATCAGAGTGCAACGTCCAGCTCGCATTCCCTCCGCCCCAGGGCGTCACGGGACAGCGGGCATTGTGAGCCATCATTTCTTTTTGCCGATTCACGATTGCACTTGTAGACTTTATTGCCAAAGCCATCGCCGATCTATCGATGATGCATGCATTTGTGCTGTCCGCAGTTACTTTTTTGAGTCAATGTAATCACATATTGTCTATCACCGGTTGGCAAGCCAGCTACGTCTGGCACGCGCGCGCCAGCTGCTACTGCAACCGCTTTGGCTCAAGGCGGCCAGCCGGTCGCACCTTGAAAGACAGAGACTGCTTACACCCTGCAGCCCGCACTGGAAAATAGTGGAAAAGAGGTCCTGGTTCCCTCCGCCCTCGGGTGTCGCGGGAGACCAGGATCACATACGTCATCGTCGGAGCCATGTCACATCAACCTCTTGCTTCTGCAGATAGATCTGGTGACATCGACATGCCACTGGCTTTCCGGGGGAGTGGCCCCAGTTCTGGTCAGGTTCAGAGCTACAACACGAGAGTCCACGGGCGCTCCCCATTCGCGCGGTCAAGTTTTCGCGCAGCGCCTGCATCAACGCACTCTGCTTGACCGAGCGTTCGAGGTCGTGCGAGAAGATGCGGGGGGGGGGGGGGGGGGGGTGGCGGGTGTGTCGGCAGGCTTATTCCGAGCGAGTTGCGGACGAGGTTCTTCGTTGCAAACTGGACGAAGCGGAGATGGCCAGGCCAGAGTGCAAGAAAGGCGATCGGGCTCGTGTGCGGGCGCGCTTTTTCAGACGCGCGCCGCTGATCAAGCGGCAGCGCTTGCAGACGACCTCGTCCCGATTGTTTCGGGCTCGTTCCAGCCCCTGCCATTACTTCTGGCCCTGGCCACTTCCACCTTCATGGGATTCCCAAGTTCCCTCTTTCCATCCAGGGGCTCAGTTGCATTGCCGCCTCCCCACGCTGTGCAAGGGAAGGGCTCGACCAGGCGAAACTCGGCCAGGCTGAACTCGGCCTGGGCCGACTTCAGACTGGCGGAGTTCAGAGTGGCCGAGGTCAGCTGGCCGAGTTCGCCCTGGCCGAGTCTCTCCTGGTCGAGTTTCGTTGCTGCCCGCTGCCGCCGATGGGAGTAGCGCGCCGTGCGCAACTCGGCGGCGAACCCAGGGGGGAGTGAGAAGGGGCGGGCCTTTTCAGAGAGCCCGGAAGACACATAACACTTCTCAGCAGGCCCGAGGGCCTCCGAGAAGCCCCGCCGCCTCTGAGAAAGCCTCCTCCTCTTCCTCCTCGCTTTTCCCCCCCCTCGCGCGCCGCCGAGCAACAGGCGGCCGCACCAGCCCAGCCGCGGCGCGCGACGCCCTGCGGCTGGGGCAAGCCAGGGCCCCCGCGGTTCGCGGTGCGCGGCGCGGCGGCGGTCTCGTCGGCCGTCTCCCCCCTGCGAGCCGCGGCGGCTGGGGAGCTCGACAGCAAGAGGTGGGCCAGTCCTGCCCAGGCCGCGCGCGAACGACGGCACAGCCCACCCCCACGCCCAGGCAGGAGCCAGGACCCCCACTCTCGATCTGGTGATCGGGGGGGGGTCTTGGCTGGGTGTGGGGGTGCTTTTTGGCCCCGACCCCCGCCAGAGCCCACGGGATCACCAGGTCAGGAGGGGGGGGCCTTGGCTGGAGGTAGGGGTGGTTGTGCCGTCCTCAGCGAAGCAGATCCGAAGATGTCCGGCATACGCCCCACACGCGTTTCGGCAGTGCGTCGTTCACGGAACACGGGTACGACGGCTGGAGCCGAGCTTGGACGATATTACATCAGGGCGCAATTCACTGTTGTTGTGGTGGGGAAATACAGTAGTTGTTTGGGGTTGGCCCTGGTGCTGCGCCACTGGGCGGGTGGGCTCAGGGCCCCCCTGTTCCTCAACAGTCCTTTACCACGGGGCCCTAATGGGCGGCATTCTGCCTAGCAGGGGGGCCCGATGCTTCCCAAGTCCTTCAATGGGCCTTCACCCTAGATGAGGTTTGTGGGTCGCGTGCCCGTGCGTAGGGGGGCCCCTTAGGGTGAATGGCGCGGCTAGGCGTTTCAGATTTTCGTATTCGCGGAGTCACTCGACTCTTGCGGCGACCACTGGGCTGACAATCATTTCTGCCCCCCCTTCTCTCCTCTCCTCCTCTTCCCCTGCTTCCCCTCCCTGTCCTCCTCGCCCCCTCCTCGTCTTTCCCGCTGCCGCGTCCCCTTCCTGGCGGAGGAGGGAGGAGGAGATGGCAGAGAAGGGTGTGGAGGTGGGAAGTGGGAGGGAAGGGAAGGTCAGGAGCCGCACGAGGAGGGAAGGGAAGGGCAGGAAGCATACGAGAAGGGCAGAAGGGGGGGGGAGACATTTTTTTTTGGGGGGGGGGGGGGGGGTTGGGGGGTGGGGAAGTGGGAGGGCAGCGAAGGGCAGGAAACAGGGGAGGAGGAAGAGGATGAGAGGGGAGCCTGGGGGCGTCTCCCCCCCCGCCAGGGGACGGGCTGCGAGTCGCGCCCGCGAGCGGCGATGATGCTGGCGCTGCTGGTGGAGGCGGGGCGCGCCCTCGCGCCCGCCGCCTTCCCTCGCTCCCTCTCCCCTCCCTCTCCTCCTCCTCCTCCTCCTCCTCCTCCTCCACCTCCTCCTCCTCCTCCTCCTCCTCCTCCTCCTCCTCCTCCTCCTCCTCCTCCTCCTCCTCCTCCTCCTCCTCCTCCTCCCCCTCCCCCTCCCCCCCCCTCGCCCCCTCCTCCTCCTCCTCCTCCTCTCCTCCTCCTCCTCCTCCTCCTCCTCCTCCTCCTCCTCCTCCTCCTCCTCCTCCTCCTCCCTCCCCCCCTCCCCCCCCCTCCCCCTCGCCCCCCTCCTCCTCCTCCTCCTTCCTCTCCTCCTCCTCCTCCTCTCTCCTCCTCCTCCTCCTCCTCCTCTCCTCCTCCTCCTCTCCTCCTCCTCCTCCTCCTCCTCCTCCTCCTCCTCCTCCTCCTCCTCCTCCTCCTCCTCCTCTCCTCCACCCTGGGGTGCACACCTCCCAAGGTGCAGTTTGTCTTGGCCTCCCACATGGGGTTCGAGTAGATGGGGTCGGAGGATCGCGCCGCATCGGCGGTGCGGCTCGAGGTGGAGCCCGACTTTCTCCACGCCAACGTCGCCGATGCGTCGCCGACGTCGCGGATGCATCGCCGATGCGTCGCCGACGTCGCCGATGCATCGGCGACGCGGCGCGATCCTCCGACCCCATCTACTCGGACCTCATCCAGGAGGCCTCTAAATTTTGCCATCGGCGAGCGCCCCGACCATGAAGCTGCCACGGCGCGTGCGCCAACGAACCGCTCCCTTGGACGTCCTTGGAAAAGGTCACCCGGCTTTCCGGGTCTCCACAAACGCCTTGCCAGCAGACCCAGAGCGATCCGAGGGGTCATCAGAAAGGCTCAAGGGAGGCCCCAGACAGCACAAGAGCGCTCCAAGAGGGACTCCAATTGCGTCAGCACGGCCCACAAGACCCCCAGGGCACCCCAAAAACCTTTCCAAGGGGCCTTCAAAGCACAAACATCGTCCCATCCCCTTCGTAAAACTTACAATTTTAGCATATTCGCCTTTCGGATTTCATCAGCTTTCAAGACGTTTCAAAGCCCCCGAGATCGCCTCAAGACGCCCCAAAAGGCCCCCAAGAAAGCTTCAAGACGGCCGAGCCGGGCCCCACGATCGCCCACGAGAGCCCCAAGACAGCCCATAATGGAACCAAGAGACCCCCAAGGGCTCCCAGCACAGACCCAAAAGGGCCATGGGAGGTCCCCGGAAATGCCCAAGATGGGTCCACAGGGGGCTCCAGCGGGCCCAAGCTCCCCAAGACCGCCCAAGAAGGCCCCAGGACGGCCCATGAAGGCGCCAAAACGGCCCACGAGGGCCCCGAAAACACCCCCACGATGTTTCCGAATGCCAACATAAAGACCCCCAAGGCACCCCAAAGAGCTTTCCAAGGGGCCTTCAAGCCACAAACATCGTCCCATCCCCTTCGTAAACCTTACAATTTTAGCATTTTCGCCTTTCGGATTTCATCAGCTTTCAAGACGGTTTCAAAGCCCCCGAGATCGCCTCAAGACGCCCCAAAAGGCCCCCAAGAAAGCTTCAAGACGGCCGAGCCAGGCCCCACGATCGCCCACGAGAGCCCCAAGACAGCCCATAATGGAACCAAGAGGCCCCCCAAGGGCTCCCAGCACAGACCCAAAAGGGCCATGGGAGGTCCCCGGAAGTGCCCAAGATGGGTCCAAAGGGGGCTCCAGCGGGCCCAAGCTCCCCAAGACGGCCCAAGAAGGCCCCAGGACGGCCCATGAAGGCGCCAAAACGGCCCACGAGGGCCCCGAAAACACCCCCACGATGTTTCCGAATGCCAACATAAAGACCCCCAAGGCACCCCAAAGAGCTTTCCAAGGGGCCTTCAAGCCACAAACATCGTCCCATCCCCTTCGTAAACCTTACAATTTTAGCATTTTCGCCTTTCGGATTTCATCAGCTTTCAAGACGGTTTCAAAGCCCCCGAGATCGCCTCAAGACGCTCCAAAAGGCCCCCAAGAAAGCTTCAAGACGGCCGAGCCGGGCCCCACGATCGCCCACGAGAGCCCCAAGACAGCCCATAATGGAACCAAGAGGCCCCCCAAGGGCTCCCAGCACAAACCCAAAAGGGCCATGGGAGGTCCCCGGAAGTGCCCAAGATGGGTCCAAAGGGGGCTCCAGCGGGCCCAAGCTCCCCAAGACGGCCCTAGAAGGCCCCAGGACGGCCCACGGAGACGCCAAAACGGCCTACGAGGGCCCCGAAAACACCCCCACGATGTTTCCGAATGCCAACATTCATTGATTTTGCTCCCATGACATTCCACACTGTGACCCAGTCGTTGAGGGTCTCGTGGCATGCAGCGAAGATGTCCGAGGATGCCCCCTACGAGTTGCATATGCGTGTTCAAACCCTTACACACATACATTTATATCCCATCCTGCCACACCGAGGGCAAAGCCATCCAGCACTTCGACCGCGACGCTCTCGCCCTCGAGTTGAAGGACGGACACAAGCGGGAGGCGTTCCTCACTAGCCTGGAGCAGCACCTCAGCGCACACGAGCAGCTCCTGGACCAGTACCTGGAGTACGACGACGGCACGTACCATTGGGGGCTCACGATGCAGTGCTTCAGAGATGCGGCCTTGGAACACTTCTCCCTCGAGGTGCAGCGCCCTCAGTGGTACAAGGAGGCTCGGGCCATCAAGCTCGAACAACTACGGCAGCGCGCAGTGCTCCGCATCCAGCGCGCCCAGCTCGAGGAGAACAGCAGCCTAGAGGCCGAGATCGAGACCCTGGACACATCCATCCGCGACCTGAGCAAGACGCTCGCTCGTCACATCAAAGACACGAACCACAAGTACAAAGAGATCCAGTGTGAGGACCTGTGGCAGGCGTGGCACAACAGACGACTTGCCGAATGCCATCGAGTCGCCAAAGGTATGCTTCGACACCGACTCCGAGCTCGACGCAGGTTCTACGGCATTCTACCGAGCAGCCGACCGAGCACCATTCAATGGCAACAGTTTCTGGAACGTCCAGGCGCTGAAGGCGGTCTTCTTGCTGTTCCTGCCCCAGTCCATGTACCTACGCGTGCAGAGCTCCTGGGCACCAACGACTCCCACCAGGTCGAACCCAGGCCGACGCCGACCTCAGTTCCTACCGCCCTCCCAGGCATGGACGACGCCGAGGCCTCCTTCGACGACATGCTTGACCAGGAGGAACCCGACATGACCACGCTCGACCAGATGCAGCACCCAACGCCACGTACACCACCTCCTTCGGCACCGAGTGCGACTACTTCGACTTCCGCTTCGGGACCTGCACCCGCGCCCACCACCCGGGGCCTCCAGCTCAACTTCGTGATGGAAGCGGCCGATGAGTTAGCAGCAGTCACTAAGCTCCTGGGCAAAGCGAAGCGACGGAAATACGCCCCACCATTCTCGGTACCAGCCGAAGTCCTCCTCATGGCCCTCCAACCCGAAATCCTCCGCCGACCAGGACGAGCTCGAGGGGGCCTTGGAGCCGCCAATGCTCCAGTCGCTGACGAAGACCCATCCCGTCGGAAACTTCAGCTTTCTCAGCCTTACCGCCTTGGCCGAGCACGACTCGTCGCTGCTTTGGCACACGCTCGACAACATGATCGAGTACCGATGCAGGCCAACACCTCCCACAGCTTCCAGCTTGACAAAGGCAAGATGCTCCCTGGCCCAGGCGGACTACGACTCATCCACTGCTTCGACGTGTTCTGGCGTTGTTTCTATCGGCACCTACGGGAACGAGGATTCCCTGTGCCGCCGCCCGACTACGCCTACGGTGGCATCCCCCACCGACGCAGAGAGTACGGCATGATCGTCACCAGAGTGCTGGCCAGCAAACTTCGGAAGGCCCGTATCTCATTCGCTGTTCGTTCTCACGATGGTCGCAATGCCTTCGGCTGCACTACCCACGAGGCCATCGCAGAGTACGTCCTCCCCACCTTCCGTGCAGGAGATCGCCAGCTGGTTCAACAACGTCGGAGCGAATCCCAGACTATCGTGGACGCCAGCGACGGGGCCCTCCTGATGCGCAACCGCGAGGGGGGCCTGATGGGTTGCTCCAATGAGCCCGACGCCTTCATGAAGGTCTACAACGCCAAGCTCGAGCACTGGCGCGAGGACACCAAGGCCACGATCTCCAACAGGATGCTTCTCTCCTGCGCCCCGACGTGGGACCCCGACGGCCCAGTGCAGGACGCCTCGCGCCAAGTCTTCGTAGATGACATCCTCAAGTTTCACATTGCGATCCGAGTCGGCCCCAAGAAGCAGGCTATGGACGCTCGCGGCAACCTGCGCGACGCGACGACCACCGAGCTCGACGCCCTGGCGATGATCATCGAGCGCGACCTGGACTCCCTACGGGCATCATTACGGACGGGCGGTTTCGGCCTGAACGAGTCCAAGGAGGAGATCGTACACAGCATCCCGTCCAAGATCCTGCACCGCGCCTTCTTCGACGACCACCGCATCAACTGCCGCAAGCTCACCTCCATGAAACACATCGGGGGCATGTTTGACGGCAAGGACACGTTCGGCGGAGAACGCGACGCACGTCTGCGAGCCGCCAATGCAGGATGGAGTCAGTACCACCACTTCTGGTTCAGTCGGGCACCGCGACGCCTGAAACGGCTGGTCTTCCAAGCGGTGGTCTACGAGGCGGCCATCAGCGGCGCCGAGACGTACTACCTGCACACCACGGACTACAAGAAGCTCGACACGTCCCTGGGCAAGAAGCTTCGAGCCATGCTGAAAGGCAAAGCCAGCACCCGCACGAATGACAAGTACAAAGCCATCTCAGCTGCCGAAGTTTGGAGACGTTGGGAGATTGCCCCCAGCTCGATCGAACTCAAAGTACGTCGCCTCAAACTTCTCCAGGGCGCGGCTGCTCATCCAGACGACTCCAAGCACATGATTTCTGTCTTGTTCGGCGAGCTCCAGATCGAACATTACCTTCGAGAGCTCGAGCTGCCCGTGGC